GTCCCAGCCTGTCCCCAGTCCCTCCCAGCACCTCCCCTGGGTGTGCACGCCCAGGCTGGCACTCCTGGCTCTCCCTCCCTGGCCAGGGTGACAGTGCCACTAGCTCCCGAGTCACCCAGCTGTCTCCTCCCGGCCGTGACATGGGGCTGTCCCCGCAGAACCGGAACCCCTTGGTGGCTGTGTACTACACCAACAGAGCCCTGTGCTACCTGAAGATGCAGCAGCACGACAAGGCACTGGCAGACTGCAAGCGAGCCCTGGAGCTGGACGGGCAGTCTGTGAAGGCTCACTTCTTCCTGGGCCAGTGCCAGATGGAGATGGAAAACTACGACGAGGCCATTGCCAACCTGCAGAGAGGTGAGTGGCCACGGTGCCGGCATCCCCTGCTGCTGCTGCCCCTGGGGAAGGGCCAGGGATTGTAGAGACATAGAATGTTCAGGGGTTGGGATGGAGCTCAGGGATCACCCAGCCCAAACCCCTGCCCTGGGCAGGGACACCTCCCACCAGAGCAGGTTGCTCAAGAGCACTGCCCTGGTAAGAACACTGAAGCTGGTGCTGGCTCTGAGATGCCCTTTGCCTCCTCAGCCTACAACCTGGCCAAGGAGCAGCGGCTGAATTTCGGGGATGACATTCCCAGCGCACTGCGCATCGCCAAGAAGAAACGCTGGAACAGCATCGAGGAGAAGAGAATCAACCAGGAGAACGAGCTGCACTCCCACCTGACCAAGCTGATCATGGCAGAGAAGGAGAGGTAAAAGGGCACCTGGAGAGGCTTTTGGAGTGCCACCAAGCTCTGGGGGAGGTGCCTCTGCCCTCCTGGAGGCGCAGGCAGAGCCCTGTGGCCAGGGCAGCAGGGAAGGGAGTGACTGTCCCTCTGTCCTCCTGAGCTCCTGCTCTGTCCTAGGGAGTTGGCCGAGTGCCGAAAGACTCAGCAGACCCGGACGAGAGCAGGAGCCGAGTCCAGCTGGCCACCATCGAGGCCAAGCATGTGAGTGGGGGTGACCTGGGGACTTCCTCATCCCATCCTCATCCTCATCGCCGTGCTCTGCTGCAGCCAAGGAAGCAGCAGGGCTGTGGCTGCACAGGGGGAAGGCAGGAGGCCCTGGGACTGAGCTCAGCTTCTCAGCCTTCAGTCTGTGTTACAGGACTTTGGTATCCCCTGTGGTAGCTGCCCTTGCTCTGTCACCTCTTGTCCCAGCCCAGCAATGCTGGTGTCTGCTGTTCCCGGAGAGAACACGAGTGGCTCTCGTCCACATGTGGACCTGGGTGCAGGCCTGGAGCAGGGGACTAATCCCTGGTAAAAATAGCCCCACAAAGGTTATTTTTAAGCTGGATCACTCCTGCCAGGTTCAGCCTGGAGCTGCACAGGCAGAGGGAGCTCTGAGGACCTGCCACAGCACCCAAGGGAGGCTTTGGGGTCTCCCTGGGGCCCCCTCATCCTCAAAGGCTCCTCTTTCAGGACAAGTACCTGGCGGACATGGATGAGCTCTTCTCCCAGGTGGATGAGAAAAGGAAGGTGAGTGTGTCCTCATCTGTGTTCCCATCTCTCCCCATAAACTGCTGTGTGCTGTGCTCCCTGCTTCGGGTTCTGAGCCAGCACCACCACCTCCCAGCCCACCTTTCTGACCCAGCTGTGCTTCCCTCGAGCCAGAAACGAGACATCCCTGACTACCTGTGTGGGAAGATCAGTTTTGAGCTGATGAGAGAGCCCTGCATCACACCCAGCGGGATCACCTACGACAGGAAGGACATTGAGGAGCATCTCCAGGTACTGCTGGGACGGGGGTTTCCTAGGACCTTTCCTGCCTGGGTGGGAAGGTATCTTCAGGTACTCCTAGGCCAGGGGCAGGGGGTTTCCCAGGACTTCTCCTGGCTGCCTGCTCAGCTCAGGGCTCCCAAGGCTCCTTGGGTTTGGTCCCAGTGCCCTGAGGAGCCCAGACACGGAGGTGTCTCTCTGAGGAGTGTTGTGCTTTGACCTGCCCCCAGCCCGCTGGGGGCCCCAAGGGGCTGTCCCTGTTCCCGGGGAGGTGCCCGGATGCCTGGCTGCCCGGGCAGATGCCACCCGGTGCCCCCGGGCTGCTCCCAGGCACGTGGAGGAACCGGTTCCCATCCGCCTCCTCCCTTGCAGCGCGTGGGGCATTTCGACCCGGTGACGCGGAGTCCCCTGACCCAGGACCAGCTGATCCCCAACCTTGCCATGAAGGAGGTGATAGATGCCTTCATCTCGGAGAACGGCTGGGTGGAGGATTACTGAGGGGCTGGGGCACTGCTGGCTCTCCCTGGG